TGAGCTGAACACAGCACTCCAGATGTGGCCACATCAAGGCAGAGCAGACAGGGAGGATCACTTCCCTTGACCTACTGGCCATGCTCTCTTTAATACACACCAGGATACCATTGGCCTTCTTGGCCACAAGGGCATGCTGCTGGCTCATGGCCAACCTGTTGTCCACCTGGACATCCTTTATCTCAGAGCTCTTCTCCAGCAGATGATGGTCTCTAATGTGATGAGACACAATGTAATATATATGAGTAAAACAATTGAGAAAGTATCCTAGAAATTTACTGGGAGTTATCTACTTCAGCCAACCTGCTAATATCAGGGTCATGTTCAGTTGGGTTTTTACTGTCTCCAAGGATGGAGGCTTGACAACCTCTTGGCAACATTCAGTGTTCAATCTCCTTTAGGGGACACAGAGGAGAAATAAATTAGTCTTCAATCTTGCTTTATCAGGCAAGTCAAGATCTTGGTTCTGTCCCATTGTAGGTAAATCAGGCACCGATACCACTTTTTTTCCTTATCTTGTTTTGTTATGACCCTTGAATCTTTCGTCATCTAAAACAGAATTATTGAACGTTTGAAACATTTATATAATGCAAAATGTAGATTTTTCTTTCCTAATGTTCCCTTGTGTTCAATCAGAATAATCCTCAAACTTTAGATTTTGTTATTCATTAGACATAAACTCCTGTCTGCTGAACTTGTATACAGTTTAGCTGGTTGATAAGTTTTATGTGGTTAGACTCTTTAAATGTAGTTATATCTGCGTAATAATTTTTCCTGCAGGATTGTCATTTATCATGTCTTTGTTTTTTACAGTCATTACATGAGACAGATATTGGAAGCTCTACGTTACTGTCATGATAATAATATAATTCACAGGGATGTGAAGGTAAGATATGGGATTTTTTTCCATTGCTGCATTAATACAAAGTACTAAACGTTGGTAGTTTCTCTACAGGAGAGGAAAAGGGGACCTATATAACAGAAAACTATTTAATGAGCATGTGTTTACTTTTATTGTATTGTATGAGATTATCACTTATCACTAATTCTGTCAGTGTAGAACATTTGGGAAGTCTTTGTTCACAGATTACATATGCATTTGATTGCAATTACTTTGGAAGTCATTTTGATTTCTGCTTCCTGAGTATTCATATGTGTTTGTACTTATTTTCTTGTTATGAAAACTTGTGTATAAATTAATTGCATAAATAAAACTGGAGTTTTTAGAGTAATTACATCATTATGACAGCACAGAAGAAGCTATCAAATCATCTAGACCAAAATTCTTTAGATAAGTGCATCCTTGAATGCTAGAATACTGGCAGTACTACCCACAGTTTACAAACAGTCTTTAATATTAGTTACTGTGAGAACAAGTTTTGGAGGAGAAATACAGGCTGTAGGGGCACTTTAAAATGCTTACAACTTTAGGAACACTTTAATAACACTGTATATATTATGTAACATTTGTGTGATTGTTTGTGGAAGTAATTTATCCCAAAGCATTACGGTATAAGTAGTTGGGAGTTTAAACCTAAGAATTTTGGTTTGTCTCTCTTCAGTTTGAATACATGCTATTTGTTCATTTTGTTGTCCTCTTAATCGCTGATAGGTTTTCTGATCTTGTTCTAGTGTGAAGGTTCTGAATCCTTTTAGTTGTTTGCTTATAATAGCATGTGAGTTTTAGAATGAACGCCATAGTTATGTGGCTTTGTCTTCCTGGGAGCTGCATTACTTGTCATTGGATGATGTCCTTGAACAAAAGCATATTTCAGTTTCAGTGGCCTTATTCCTCAGAAAAATGTAGATATATTTTTACAGCTTATTCAGTCTTTGAAAATTTTAAAACCACTGTTTTTATTAAATGCCATCCTTAGAAATAAAGCTACTCAATTACATGAGTGTTTAATCTTGATAAAAGCTGAGCAGAAATATTTTAACTATGAAGCTCACGTGTAGATCATTAAGTTAACTGCAGCATCTCAGCTCTAGATGTCACTGTAGGCAGTGTTTTGAAAGGAAGTAGGGTAAGTGAATGATTTCTGAATTATATGAATGAATGAAAGTGAAGTAATAAGGATCTGTAAGGTCGATACAGTCATTCTATGATTCTGTGATTATGCATTTTTTCCTCTTTTCTGTGTTATTTTAAACTGCAGAATGTTTGATCTTGATCTGATTCACAGGAAAATGTGTAGCTTTTAGTCCCTATTAGAATTAAGTGTCTTGTAGGCATTTTTGTGCTCACTTGGCTTTCAACTAATAAGAAGTCAGATTAGGAATACTTCAGTCTGCTGTTGTCTGATGCCAGAAACTTCATCTGTTCTTCTTAAGCAACAAGATGAACCAAAGCTGACTGCAGCCTATGATAAACTTACATCTCCCATGCCAGAATCAAAACATGAAAACTTTCACAAGATGGCCTCTGCTTGCCTTAATTTCCTTCTCTTACGAGAGGTCTTGAGTTTCTTTATCTTTTGTCCCTAACATTACTTGAAAGTTTGGTAATCTCTGACCTTTGCCTTATCTTTTGGTTAATGTGGTTCTGCTGCTGGGTGCTACATTTTCAGAAGCAGTTTTGCTGAGAAGTGCTGCTTGCTGAGAATTTAGACTGCTTGACATGCCACAGAGCTCAACAGCTACGTAGTTGGATACCTTTTGATCTGGAAGTTCCTATGTTCCAGTCACTTGCTCAGCCATTCAGAAAACCTGCATCTTCTGAGCTGGCCATTGCAGCACATTTTGAAGGGCTTAACAAAGGGTCTTTTAAACCCTTTGTTGTGCATGTTTGCCCTAATATTTTATGTTCCTGCTATAGAAATCAAGTATTTAATTTGTGATTATATAATTCACAATTCACCTGAAAACTTCCAAGTTAACACCAGGATGACTAAAAAGCACAAGAAGTTTAGCACATGAGCTGCGTTTTCCTGAAGTGCTTGTTTCTATGTCTTTTCCTCACGCCTCTCTGTTTTGAGAGGTTTTTCCTCCGTGAACTGTTGAACCAACATATTACTTTAGTTGCAGATTCTCAAATTGCCCATACTGCACAAAGGTTTTTCTACTCTTTAATATGGAATAAGCCAACTAATACAATTCAGAAATGTAAAGGAGATGTCACTTTAAACAGGTTCTATAGGAAAATACTAAAAGTATGTATTATTTTGGGGTACTAAGAAGAATTGGTGAAATGGGATTTTACCACAAACTTATGTTTAATCGGTAGTTCCCAAAATTTCATCCGTTTTCTTCCCTATTTGGTAAATGCAGCACTAGGGAACCAATTGGTCTAGAAAAGCAGAATAATAATTACTTAAGCCTATACTATCACCAAAAATTCAATGTTGAAGTTTACATCCTTAGACACCTTGCTGTGCTGAGGTTCCCTAAGTGTAAGGAAGGACAGAAGTTAGGGTTCTTATTTTGAGCCTGTGCAAAAACAAAAGCACCCTGGCGGTAAACTTGTCATGCAAATGTCTACTGCTACTGATCTAAACACAGTAGTCTGAGCAAATTTAAACTGCTTTGGTTTAGTCATGGTTTAGGTGTCTTGTCCTTGGTTTTTGCACAGTATGATGCACACCCACACAAACCAGCCTTCGTTCTCAAGAGCTCTTTCCTTTAGCATTCTGCAGTGTTAGACTCTGAAGCTGCCCACTTAAGGTTTTTCTGTAGATCATTTGTTAAGCATCACAAGAGAATTCTGTAGAATAAGCAAATGATGGTTTCTGTTTTCACAAGTAGCACTGTATTTAATAAAATACTATGTTCCTGTGATTTTTCTGTCTTTTTCACTTACCTCTTTATTGAACTTCTGCAGAATACAAAGCAGGTGTCAAATGATATGAAGTCTTGGGGTGCCTTTTACAGGAGGCCTAATATTTTGCATCTAACACCATATGCCAGTTTTGGGTCAATGTAGTGTTTCTGTCATGGAGCTCAGTCGTAGGGTCGGAAAGACAGAATTGATTGCTACACTTTATTGTGCAGTTTGCAGCAAGTGATTGGGCTTGTTAAAAAAAAAAAAACTGAACATCTAAAAAATAGCTGATATTCTGTAACACTTTCTGCATTCATTGGACAGCTTCCCTTGATCTCATTTGGAAGAATAGGGAAAAGACCACGCTACAAGAATAAATTCAAAACCACTCCTGTTTTGTACTCCTTTCATTCTGTTCATGGTTCTTAAATGTTTATTTTGAGTATAAGTTGTATACCCGTAAATAATAACCATTTATGCCTACCTAACTAAGTAAACAATAAAATTTGCCTCGCAGAGTTAAATTAGGAATGTGGAAATTCTGTGATTTTTTTTTTTATATTTATGTTAAATAGTACCAGAGGTTAAAAGTAAGTGCATGTATGCACTTCATCCTTTTTTCCCTCGCTTCATGTGCATTCGGATATCCCACAATTTTGTATGACTCACGTGTTTTACTCACTCTTCTGCTAGTGATCTGGGTTTAAACACTAATGTGAAGAAGGTACCTTCCGGAGTAACATGTGTTAATTCAAATTTGACGTGGTCTAATCATGTAACACTTTAGGGCGATTGCATGTTGGACTTCAGTGCTGGGCTGTCTGCCAGGTTAAACAGCTATTTGCTCACAGTGGGATGGGAGAGAGAGAATTCAAAAAGGTGAAAGTGCAAGAAATGATGGGTAGAGATATGGACAGTTTAATAAGGGAGAGGAATAATAATAATAAAAGAAGTGATGCACAGTGCAGTTGCTCACCATCAGCTAGCCAGTGCTTAGACAGACTCAAAGCTGAGCTTCTGAGGAAAAAAAAAAAGGGTTGATCTTGAGTGTATTTTGTAGTTCTCTGGGCCTTCTTCCGTAAGGCTTTGACAAATGATTAATCTATTTTTTTTTTTTTTTTTTTTTTGTTGGTAAAGAAAGCCCAGAAAACCTGGGAATAACGGTGACGGATGAGAACTATGTCCTCTATTTCGCACTAGTTTCTTCCCAGATCAGTTAGAAAGAAAACACTGTCCATCCAGCAAACATAAATGTATTTTTCTTTACATGGGTGAAGTGGCAATGCACAGTTCTCTGTGTGAATTACATGAATTCATTTATTATGACTGCTGTTGATTTTTAAAGCAAGACTGTTTAAAAAAAAAAAATACAAGTAATGTTACCATTTTATTTAAATATTTCCCATTTGATATAAAAGTCTCATTGTAGCAAGTCAAAATGAGCTGGCTGTTAGTAATATTCTCTTAACATCTTTCCATCATACTTCGTATTGGTGGGGTGTCTTCAATGAAAATATCAGTTCTGCGTTGGTGTTTTTCAGGTGTGGATTTTTTAAACAGACTGTATAGACTTTTCTTAAATGTTTTATCTAGCAGAAGGGTTGTAACTGGATCTATGCTACTCCTAGAAACACACAGACAAGTAAGGAAGTTTTTAATTTCTACTAGGTAGTTTATCTTTGAACAGTCTTCTTCTGGAAGCAATACATAAAATATGGGCCTGAAAATATGGTACGGAAGAAAGCAGGCAGTTAAAATTATCTGGATGACAAGAATGTTTCTTTTCACTGTTCTGTAAACCATATGGTTTTGTCCAATGTGGGTGTTTTTTTGTATTTTACTCAGGTGTCTGGTGAGGGAATAGTATGATAACAAAACAGTTAGAAAAAATAGAAAAAAACAAGCAGTAGCAAAAGAAGCTGCAGTCTTTGCAGTAAATTCACCTATTTCTACCTTCATGTTGTAACACGTGTGAAATGTTTGCCCCCCCCTTGCCCGAGCATCGTACGTGATAGCTGTTACCGTTACGCACAACACAATGAGCCATATAAAGATACAAAAATATTTAGCGAACTTTGGCTGACGAAACTTCTGAAGTCCACGTTTGTACAAGTTTTTTGTGACTGCTTGGGAGTGTCGTGCATCATTGTTCTTCTTCAGCGTTGCATACTGACTTAAAGCGATTGTACACAAAATGGTGATTGTAACATACATGCAGACGTGCATGACAATAGTTCCGAGGTGATACGCTACTCTGCATACATCAGAGCCATATGTCCACTGGTGCCCTTTTGCAAAATAGCCAGCCACAAAAGGCATGGTGCTACATACGAGTAAATTAGCAGTGATGAGATTTACCAGATAAATGTGCTGTGTTCTTTTTGTGGATGCTTGTCTTGAAAACACCCAAGCAGCGAGAGTATTTCCAAAACTGCCAGTAATAAATAGGAAACAGTAGATGACTGGTAGAGCTACAGTAGTAGCTATCGATGGGTGAAGAACGCATGTTGAATTTCTCATTTATGCCAAATCTTGAATGGATGATGAGAGCTGAAACACAATTAAAGGAATTATTCTTCTGTAATGTGCATCTAATATATCTTTTTTTTCTTCATATTTTAAACTTTTTAACTTTTACTTTTTCTCCTCTGCTTTTCATTGTTACCAATTCGTAATTGTTCTCTGTGGTTATCATTTTCAGTTTGCATGAGCTTACTGTTTAGATGTTCTTTTACTGACAGATTTTTGGCAGTAAAAAATACAAAGCTGACTTATGTTTAAAAAAAAAAAAAAAAAAAAAAAATGTGCTTAGAATCTAATAAAATAAATGAGGAAACAGAAGGTTGAAGGTAGGGTCTGAAAGTAACTTCTGTGGTCTTAAGTTATTTCTCAGTCTTCTAGAACACTTGTAACCTACTTTGGAAACCACTCTGGACTATTTCAAGTTAAATAAGCAAAATAAATACAAAGCATTTCAGTATTTGCAGAAATGCACAGGAGTGTCTCTTACCTACATTTAAGTAAGAATTAAACTGTACATGATTCTGGAAGCTAGTTGGATGCTTTTTTTTTTTTCTTTTTTCTTTCTTTTTTTCTTTCTTTTTTTTTTTTTTTTTTTTTGCTGATGATAGTATCTAACTTACTTAGGGCTCTAATCTTAGGTATACGTTATGCATAAATGATGTAGTTATGAGCATGTAAATGATTGCTGAAAACTGTGATATATTTCCAAGTTTAGTTTTCAATTTATTCTGTATTTCTAGACTGTAGGCAAGAAATCAGTTCTAGTTGGTGTTTAAAGCCCTGTAGAATGACTGCATATAAAAATGAGTCTTTGACTTACTAACGTATGGTGAAGAGAGATTATCATTTTGTACAGGTGAAAGTTCAGTAAAGTGCAACTTAGCTTAAATTGCATATAAAAGTACATGGGAAAAAAAAATAACATTTCAAAGTCACAAATTGATTAAAAAAAAAAATTTTAAACAGCCATAAGCAAATGAATTCAAATTCCAAAGAGCATTCTTTGTAACTATAATGAAATACCCAGGCACCAAGCAGATTACATTATGAAATAATTGTAAAACTTCTATTTAAAAATATGCTATAAGCCATGACTAGCAATTTGTAAATTAAACCAAATTTTTTTGCAGTTGTTGAATCTTTACCTAAGTCCCATATAGATCGTTGAACCAAAGTATATTAAATTATTTTATTACAATGAGTTACATTCACGAAATAACGTTTGGACTCGATCCTCTAGACATTTATCAATTATTTTTATGTGAATGTTTCGAAGCAAAGAAGTAGCACTTTCAAACTTACCTATGCAAACTGCAGGCGTCTTCCTTTGGAGAGGGAATTTTTGTCCAATGTCCTTTTTTTCTTTACACCGATGCAGTGAAAAAGATATTTAAATCTGGAAAACACAGTTAAGAAAAATGCCTTTGTGGCATAAGTAGGTTTTCAGAATGTGCCTTTTCTTCTTTTACAGTGTCAAAAGGCAGCTAGACACTAAAAGTTCAAACCAAAAGATGTTTTCTGTGCAAAAAATCTTTGAATTTAGGTCAGGATATGCCTCCATTAGAGATTTTAAAAGAATGCAAGATAAAAGTGGAAGAATGATTCTAGCAGTCCTTTGGCCATGTAATTATTTCAGAGAAATACTTAAAATACTTTTAAGGCGTGGAGCTCTTGTTACTATCACGCTCTTTGAGACTGCCCACTTCCCAGAATGGAAAAAAATGAAGTTCGTATTTTGTAGGTGAGAACTTTAACTGCAGTTTAATTGCTCTTCAGATCCCAGGATTTTCACAGAGCTGTCCATCTGTTCTTGAATTCCACATGCAACAACGATAATGACATATCCGTGTCTGCCCTCCTGTCAGTGACCAAATGAACACATCACGTATGTCCTGTCAGATGATGCATTCTGTGCAAGCAGTTTATAGCTGATGCATTCTCAGCTTTCTAACCATTCAGGGGAAACTGACTTGGCTTGTTTCCAAGAAATAGGAAGTTTAATGTAAGTCATCCAGAAGGCTGATAGCCAGGACAGTTTCCTTCCTGAAGAAGTTTCATCACAGATCAGTATCAGTCAAATTCTGCTTAAGTCTGCAGAACATAAAACTTCTGGATTTACCCCTGTGTGATACATCTGTGGTTGTCAGATATGGCTTTTCAGAAGCAGTAAGTTCCTTTATGAGAACAGAGGAGGTGCCGTATTTTATGCACTTTTAGTATTGTTGTGTAAGTTTTGCCTTGCATTTAAGGACTCACAGTGAAAACACACTTTAGGGATCTCAATGGATTTAATTATTCAGTCTCATTATTGATTTTATTTATGTTGCTGTAAAATGATAGACATGTATGCTGTCCACCTTTTTAGGTTAGACAATTCATGTCATTTAAAAGTAAATTTAAGTGAAGGAAGCTTGCTTGGAATATTAGTAAGTAGCTTGTAGTGCTGTGGCTCCTTTGCATGCATTTTAATTTTTATTCTGTGTTAAGCTTTACCTTCTTTTTCTTCTTTTTCTGTTTGAATAAATAACTATATTAAAATCTGCTCTAATAGAAGGATTCTTATAGTAATTAAATGTCTAATAGTCTATTACAGAGTCTTAGAAATCCATGTTTCTGTATTGTTCCATCCAGTTTTAGACACAAGAGTACATATCCTGAAAATTTGCTAAGTGGAGACCATGGTTTTATGCCAAAAAATGGTGTGAGCAATTTCAGTTAGCAGTTAGTTTTGTTGTTATTCAACTGGTTATTACATCTAGCCTGTTGTATTTGTAGTTCAATTACCATAATTCTTTCTATGTGAGGAAATTATGCTACCTTTTTTCTGAATTACTGTATAATGGCTTAATATACTGAATTATAATTTATCAGACTTCATTTTGTAACTGATTAGTGAGATGGGCGACAAGTGAATGGGACATTGAGTAAACAACAAAAAAAAAGAAATTGGTTCCAAGCACTCTCACAATTCTTGTACACTATTTCCATTTGTCTGACCTACAAATGGCTTATTTTATCTAATGCATATTTGATGATATGCAAACAGTACACGTGCATCTCTTAGGCAATTCACTCTTAAGTTCTTAATAATGATCTTCATGTATTCTCTTCCCCTTACTTATTTCTATTTCTAGCCCCCTTAAACCATGATTATTATGCTTGTTTCTAGATTTTATATACTAACAAACAGTGTGTGCTGCCTTTTTTTATTGTATACAAACCTATTTTGTGGCTCAAAATCACAAAGACAAGAAAATTCACAGTGCGGGAGCCATTTCGGTTAGCCACTTATAACTTGTACCTAACTGTATTATATAGTACAGCCATAGGCAACAGTGATACACACTAAAACCACCTGGCCACTACCTCTCCCTTCCACCTGCTAGAGATGATAGAAGACAACCCAGTTAATCTCATATCTTGTGCCTGTCTCAACTTGTGTGAATATCTGGGCTGTTCCTGTCAGGCAACAGAGTGTAATGTGGATTGGCAGCAGCTGCTCCTTACAGGATGGAAGAGGGCAGCAGTCCATTTACCTGTGGCTCCTGTGGCAGTCCTGATTCTCTATCCCATGGAAGGCCCAGGAGATGCACTTAACCTTGTTGCTTGATGGAAGAAAGGCAACTTTTAGGATAAAGTGCACAAAAGTGGATGCCCCTAGATAGGGCCACTATGGATGCTAAGGCTGAACTATACTAAATAAATGTGTAACATGTTAAATATGCATCAATCTGTAACATGAGATTTAATTTCCAGTACTTGGAATTTGATCTATTGTATAGGTGTATAAAAATGCAAAAAGAATAAGCAAAGTTTTGTTGATTATGTATGTGAAGTATATTACATATTTTATATGCAGCCCCATATAATTCCTCTTCACTCAGTGCAGCCAGGCAAGCCAAAAAGTTAGAAACTCCTTACTGTATGGCATTTATTACCAGGATAAGTCTCTAAAATGCATTGACTACTGCAAACATGCAATTCATGTCTTCCTTCATATAGCTGAGTTAGAACTTTGACTTCTGATTCTAGTTTTTTTTGTTTAATCGTCAGAATTGAAAGTTTATTGGCTGTATAAACTTCTAAGAGATGCAATTCATTTTCAGTTGCATGTGTAGATCCGGGAGAGTTGTTGCAGGCTGTCAGGTGAAGTCTCTGGTGACTGGAAAAAGGGAAACGTCGCTCCCATTTTTACGAAGGGTAGAAAAGTCATCTAGTGAGTCTCAGTGTCATCTACCTGGACTTCTGCAAGACCATTGACAGGGTCCCATACCACATCCTTATCTCTGAATTGGAAAGATAGTGATTTGAAGAGTGGATTACTCAGTGGCTAAATATTTGGTTGGATGGTTGCAGCAAGAGGATTGTGGTCAACAGATCTGTGTCTAAGTGGAGGCCAGTGATGAATTGTCTGGATGAGGAGCTGCGAGATATGGTTTAGTAGCTTGTGGTAGCAGTGGTAATCAGAGCACGGTTGGACTAGATGATCTTATAGGTTGTTGTTTCCAACCTTACGATTCTATGATTCTATGAATGGTGTCCCTCAGGGGTATATCTTGGGACCTGTGCTCTTCAACATCTTTATCAACAACCTAGACAATGGGATTGAGTGCACCTTGAGCAAGTTTGCAGGTGACACCAAGCTGAGCAGTGTAGTTCACATCAGAAGGGAGGGATGCTATCCAGAGAGACCTGGACGAACTTGAAACATGGGCCCACATTGAACTGAAAGAGGTTCAACTAGTCCAAGTGCAGGGTGCTGCACCTTAGTATGGGCAATCCCGGATACGTGTACAGTGTGGAAGAAGAACTTGCTGAAAGCAGTCCTGTGGAGAAGGACTCTGGGATCCTGGTGAACAAAAAGCTAGGCATGAGCCAGCAGTGTGTTCTTGCAGCCCACAAGGCCAACTGTGTCCTGGGCTGCAGGGGTGGCCAGCAGGGAGGGGGGGGGGGAAAGTGATTGTCCCTCTCTGCTCTACCCTCATAAGGTCCCACCTGGAGTGCAGCATCAAGGCCTGGGGCGTTCAGCACAAGAAGGATGTGAAACTGTTGGAGTGGGTACAGAGGAGGCCATGAAGATGATGGGAGGGCTGGAGCACCTAGCCTGCAAAGAAAGACTGAGGAAGCTGGCCTTGTTCAGCCTGGAGAAGGGTCTGAGGAGACTTCGTCATATATATTTATATACCTCAGTAGATGTATTTATGAGAGCAGCTCTGAAAGTAATGCCTCTTATTGTATTAGTCCACAAGGTCAAAGGCAGATGTTGGTTGTATAGCAGTAGGGGTTGAACCTTCCTGCCAGTATCCCATTCCGTTTTGCTGCCATGTGACAGAGGGCAGCAAAGGGGCAGTCTGACACAATGGCGTCTGAAATGGAAGTGCAGATGAAGCAAAGGTGTGTCACTGAATTCCTCCATGCTGACAAAATTGTACCCATTGAAGTTCATTGATGCTTGCTGAATATTTATGGAGGCTGAACGGTAGATGTGGACAGAGTGAGACAATGGGTGGTGTGTTTCAGCAGTGGTGACAGAGATGTGAGAAATCCAGTCACATTCTTGACAGCCATGCAGATTTTTTCAAGCATGATATTCAGGGTCTTGTTCATTGCTGGCAAAAAAATGCATAGCTAATGGTGATAACTATTTTGGAAAATAGTGTTTTGTAGCTGCGAATTTTCTCTATCAAGTAGTGTTACTGTGCTCTTTTTCCCTCATAGTTTCCATGGAAATAAATAGGAGACATTACTTTTGGAGCAGTGCATTTAATATTGTGAGAAATACTGACCAAATCAAAGTTCTCTAAGTTCATGTTTAAATCTACTCAGCTTGAGCTGAGTACTACGCTGAATCAGTGGATATAAAAGAGATGGCAGATTTTAATTTGGTCTTTGTTAGACTGTTTGTTGTTTTTTTTTTTTTTTTTGCTGTTCATTGATGATTTATTTTCAGCAGCTTTAGAATTGCCGTTATAGTTGAGCAGAATAGGTTCAAAATTGTAGTTCTTATACTGTTTGATGCATTGTGAGAATTTGCAATATAATTCCGGTATTTCTAGGATCCTTTGTGATATAGATAAGGGATAGTATTGCACCCATACCTTCAGCTATTTGGTTGTCATTAAATAAGCACGTTTATGTGCTCTGGGTAGTTGTTTTGTATAGAGAATCGCTAATTAAACAATACCTTTTAAACTGGAAAGCATAGAGTTACAGTTGACAGTACTTAAAAGAATCATCTTTTGATGTTTTTAGACTTCAGGACTTCAGTGCTAAAAACTTCAGATTTTTTCCCAGATGAAATACTCTGTGCAGCCTCCAGAGGTCTCTTTTACTATTCTTGATTTTCAAAAATCGGTGACTGTTTACTGGGCATGATAATTTTTGCTTTGATTTTTAGTTTTTAACATGAGAACTGTTCTGATCATTGCAGATAAAGAGGAAGCTTTCTCTGTGGTTTTCTTTCACTGTGCTGTAACTCATGTATTTTCAAGTTAAATGTTCATAAGAGCTTTTTAGCTTTTGTATGAGGCTCTTAAACTTTTGAGAAATTGCAAAAGTACTAAAGCAAAAATAAAAATCTGAAGCATGGTGATAAAGGCAAAACTGATGCACAAAAGGTAGATTTTCTTGACTGCAAATTGGAAAGCTTTGTCTCCAAAATGAATTTCTTGCTGATAAGGAACAATGTTATGTCCCCTGTCAAGTATTTTCATCAGACTTTTAATGTGTTGTTGACAATACGCATGTAGAAATTTTTTTGTGTGAGAAACAGTGGGTATGTTTTCATTTTAAAAGCACACAGTCATCTGTATCTGTGGTTTGAGATATTCCGAAGTAGCTGACCTTGCTTTTTAATAGGTGCAAAGATGTACTAACCATCTCTGTATGCAAAATTAAAGGAACCAGTACTCATCATTTACAGCAAAA